AAGTAAGCATCAGTGAGGTGTTTGGGGATTTTCACGTTGCTGATATCAATTTTTGTGGAGGTGGCAATGACAAACTTCTGGTGTGTTCTACGCAGAGGAACGCGATTAAGGTTAAGAGGCCCTAAGGAAAAAAATTAGTGTAGTCATCTAAAAGGAAAATAACCACTTAATAACTGAGTAGGAATTAAGCCTGATTTGGAGAAATCTCAAACTGTCCCAGCATTCCTGGGAATGTCCCAAAATCTTACTTTGTCAACACCCTCCTCCCATCTTTCCAAATGAGCCAGGCTAGAAAAACGCAGTCACTTATACAGGCTGGTCAAACTCACAGTCCCTCAAATGTAGTATTGCTTGTCTGGAAGCAACAATTCACTTGTCTTGTTTACTAACTCCATCTCACGCCAAGTGACAGAATAATTACAAGTATATGCAGGATGACTTCCTTGGGAAAAGGCCCATTATTGGGTATTTTAGTCAATAGTTACTTGATGTGTTGACATACAAAACTGATTTTTTCCGGTACCAGGAATGGAACTCACAACTTTGCACTTGCCAGGCAGGTACTGTGCTGCTGAGCTAAATCCCCTTGAAAAACCCACCACCACATAACCCTCAGGTATGCAAAGCAATGAAATGGGGCTCAGCAGCTCTTGGCGTGAGGAAGCTTCCATGCAGATGGTGGCAGCTGTATATAAGTGTTTACATCTGAACTGTGGTCAAGTGGGGTGAGCACACACCTGTAACCTCAGCTCCATGGGAGGCACAGGCAGTTAAGACCAAAAGTTCAAGGCCACTCTAGGCAACTTAGCAAGACGGTTTCAAAAACAGAGCAATATAATTAAAGCCCCAAATTTCTTTTTTTGGGGTTTTTTTTCCAGTACCAGGAACCGAACTCACAACCTTGCGCTTGCCAGGCAGGTGCTGTGCCGCTGAGCTAAATCTCCAGCCCCTAAAGCCCCAAATTTCAAAGAAGATAGGCAGGCATTGTGGTAGATGCCTGTAATTGCACCACTCGGGAGACTGAGGCTGGAGGATCTTTGTGAGTTCAAGGACAACAGCCTGGGCTACACAGTGAAACCTGTCTAAAAGAGCAACACAAAAGGGTCGGGCATGGTGGCACACACCTGTAATCCCAGCACTCAGGAAACAGGCAGGAGGACTGCTCAAGTTCCAGGCCAGCCTGAACTACACGGCAAGACCCTGTCTCAAAAAACCAAACAAACAAACAAAAACCACAACCACCACCCACAGAATTAAATATAAAAAGTCCAAGGATTTTCTTACCAGTCACAAGCAGCAAGCCACTGGCCAACTGCTTCAGGAAAACCACTCTCTGAAAATTAAATGGAATAGTTTTTAACCACAATTAAATCTGACTTCTGAATGAATCAAATCCATGGGGCATCTAAATTTAGGAGAGGAAATCTCTTCATGCATGTTGCTCAGCAGTTCTAGAAACAAACCACATCGGCCTATTGAAGTAATTCAACTATAAACGTTTTGGAGCAAATGGACCTGTGTCGTTTATTATATAACCAGCAGCAGAAAATGGTTATTTCGTGGATTAAACATGGTAACTGAAACAAGACCCTCCCCAACACACCACACAACATAAACATGACCAAGCCCGCCCGGCGGCTGCCCGGGCCCCGCAGGCCAAGGCGCTGTGCTCACCTTGCCTCTGTGGCGCCCAGTGAGGATGATCAAGACGGTCCCGGGCGTGATGCTGGCTCGCAGCTTCCTCACGTGCTGACTGAAGGGTTTCTTGCCGTGGCTCAGCAGCTTGCGGGGCACATCTTCAGTGGGGTAGTATCTGGGCTGGAGAGAGCACGCGGGTCCGCTAAGTCATTAGGTTCACGACAGCTGAGCCTGGTTGTCGAAGAACTCTCTGCCACAGCTTTTTACTCATTTAAAACTTACACTTTGTCTACACTACGGCCTTTTCGTTTTTCCTAAGTACACTTAAAACTTGAAAACACTGCTTCTGTATCCTCTGTGTGCAAAACAGGATGGAAATAACAAAGGATGAGTGCCAGCGTCAACCAGGTTACCTTTATAAACTCAGGATAACGATGAACCTCAGGGATGCCACAGCAAGCTACCTTTCTACAGCTGAGCGGCCACCCTCAAGCCTCCACAGGTACTGACCCCTCTAGCTAAGCTCCTTCAGAGAAACACACCTGAGTGCACGCCTCTGTAATCTCAGCACTTGGGAGGCTGAGGCAGGATGATCACCTTGAGTTAGAGACCAGCCTGAACTATACAGTGAGACCCTGTCTCAAAAAAAACAAAAAAACCAAAAAACAAACCCAGCATGCCTGACATACATTTTACATCTTAAAAGCAAGAATGAATACAATCAAAGAAAATAAAAACAAAGATGACACAGCTTCTCTTTCAACTCAAAAAAGGTGCACCAGGTCTTCACCGCTTCGGTGGAGCCTCACAGTAAAACATCCTAGTCCCATTTTATCCATGAAGGAAAAGAAATTGCACAAAAGTAAGTATTACGTTGATAGTTCACTTAGTGTTAAGACACACCAACACTAAATCACAATCACAGGTGTCAAACGCCTGTAATCCCAACACTCAGGAAGCTGAGGCAGGAGAACTGCTGCAAGTTTAGGCCAGCCTGGGGGATATACAGTGAGGTCAAGACTAGCTTGATACATAGTAAGACCCAGTCTCAAAAGCACTACACCTCCCAACAGGGATTTTGCAGGCCCCAACCACAGTAGGCAAGCACTCTACCGTGAGCTACACCCCCAACCCTAATAGCTTAGTTCTACCTATGCCATAGCACTACCGTGCTATCTCACTTTCACCACAAACCTCTATGGAAACAAAGCTCAAAAAAGCAACTCAACTTATTTACGGTTAAATGGTGTATTTCAAGGCCAAGTTGCAAACTGCTCTGGAACCTGGGCCCAGGATCACCTTCCACCTTCCACTAGCATGTCCCTGTTTAACAGAAACTCAGGAGTACACAAAAACGTCTTCAAAGCACTGAGGCCTAACCTAAGAACCTTTTCCATCATCCTCCAACTCTTACCATTTTTCGAAGCTTAACCACCCGGGTACCACCGTTCTTGTCACCACCAACTGGTTTTGTGACAGTAGCAAGAACCTTCTCCTTCTTTTTCTTCTCAACCTACAAGCACAAATGCATCACTAAGTGAGAAGCAACCAAGTTAAGCTGAGCAATAATCTGCAGTAGTTCCCCTGCTCCCTTACCTTGGATTTAGCGGCTGTGTACTTTCTCTTGTACAAAGCTTTTCTGGAATACATAGCAGATCGGGAGTATCTACCAATTCCTCTAACCAGGAC